ACACACACACACACACACACACACACACACACACACACACACACACATATTGCTCTTACCTTTGCCCATCTTTCCCTTTCAACAACTCCTTTGAGTACCTACTATGATCTAACTAAAAAACTGGGCAGCAAGAACTCCTGCTTTCCAGGCATTTTAAGTTCCCTTCACTCCTTTCAAGCGTGGCCTGCCCTCCAGTTTATGCATGCTTCTGGTCACTTTCTAAATACATGTGAGGAGTTGTCCTTTTAAAAATATTTTGTTCAGTTTGTAAGTTTTGATTGCCCAGGGACCAGCATGATACCATCTGCTCTGTCATTACCACAAGTGGGCTTTTGATTTTGCTATCTGGCTGCTGTTCTCATGTCAGAACTGGAGATGGGAAGATGGCACTGTTGAGAATCATCTGCGATTTGTTTCAATGGTGAAATGACACAGCCTAGGTGACTCTTGACAGACTCTCCACTTAGACTAACTCTGCTCAGATTCTAACTGTGAAGGTGTAAGGAACCAGCAGTACAAGCATCTTCCTCCCCCTACTCCATACCTGATGTCGGCTTGGCTATCCCCCGGTCTGGTAATGCTCCGTATTTCTGATGCTGGTCATACCAGTCACTCACCGTCATGGTTGCCAGGCTTGGATAACCAGCTCCAAATACTCTGCAAAAACCACATTCCATTTAGAGAATGAAACAAACAGAGTAATATGGAACAGCCTCTTTCCTCTTTAATGGCGAGACGGGTGCTTATGTCCTTCTCATTCCCCTACATGGCAGTCTTTTGAGGACCTGTACAATCTCCTCCAGCCATGCAGAAAAGGGGGCATCCATAAGGAAGCACTAAAGTCAAGAACACTCATGAGATCGAGAAAGAGTAGGTAGCCCAGGGTCATCTCCCAGTAAGCGATCCCAAGGGGTAGCACTCCACAATGACACTGTCAATTAGAAATTGACAGAGGCGGTTCTAAAATGTGGAGAGAGAATACTTTCCTGCAGCCCCGTGGAACAGCGTCAATAACGCAGAATTAAATCACAGGCAGGCAGGTATGTCCTTCTGAGAGCTGCTCAACAAGGCAGGAAGTGTCAATAATAGGAAAAAAAACATGGAGAGCATGCAATTCTGCATTTGACTGACTGCTTTCTTTCTGCTTTACAGCGGCTTTTTAAAAACCTGATGTGCAGGGAATTTCTGAGGCCAACCATGGAGAAAGTATCAGGAAAACTTTAGGCCCTTGGCCAAAAGAGCACCACTCACAGCCGAAGCCATGACTTTGAAAAAAAAAAAAACAACAACAACAAAAACCACACGTCTGTTTTGTAATTTAACGGAGCATTGCATGGAACCCTCAAAACTGGACTGCGAAGGCAGGGCAGTCTGCAGCACTACCTACTTGGCTTGGGCCTTGTTCCGCGTGAGTATGAAGGGTTTCATTGGAGGCTTCTCTGGAAGAGATGAGTGAGAAGTTGATTCCTAAGAAGAAAATTAATTTTAGAGGTGTATTTGCCATTTTACCCACTTTATCACATAGGCTTTCAAGTCTTCTGGTGCTGAAAAGGCTCTGCACTCAAAACTCACTCCCTTTCTGCTGTGGGAGCTCCTTTCGCTTCTTCAGCCAATAACCTTTAAGATACCAGTCCACTTGGGCGTGGTCTCTTTTGCTTTAAAAAGCAGCAAGCCTGTGTGCTCTCTCTGTCTCTCTCTTGGCTTCTGGCTATTAGACTCTGTTCCTGGTTGCCAGAGGGCTATTGTCTAGGACAATGATCTGTAAGTTTTCCCCTTAAATAAATAACCCTTTTATTAATCATAACTCCAAACTGGTGTGGGATTGTTTTGTGACTTATGTCTACACCTTTCTATTATGTGCCTTTGGTTTCCATGCATTTTTTTTCTTGTGGGGGAAGAGTTCCGCATGAATGTCAGAGGATGGTTTGCAGGAGTCAGTTCTTCCTTTCCATCATGTGGCTTTTGGGGACAGACTCAGGTTATCAACCATCTTGATGGCTCCTTTTATTTATCAGTCTTAAGGGGGTATTAAGTACTTTGCCAAAATGAGAGAGAACAAGTCCTCTCAGGAAACTTCTTACCACAAGGAAAAAAACCATTTGGTTTCAAAATAGGCCCACTCAAAGAAGGAAATTCTAAAGCCTACTGCCATGTCCCACATATACCCCTGAGCCGCGTTCCTTCAGCCTGACCTTCTGTGGAAAAGAATTAAAACCTTTCTTCCAAAAGCCTTTGCAAATGTAATTATGCTGTTAATTTTTGAGACCCTCTAGAGTATTTTAGAGATTGATTCCTGTCTGTAAAGGGAAGAAGGGCAGACCAGCAGTTCTTATATAAAGGTATACAGACATGCTGGAACAAAGTATACATAAGTAGCCAAGTGGTGGTAGTGCGTGCCTTTAATCCTGGCGCTCGGGGGGGCAGAGGCAGGCAGATTGCTGAGTTTGAGGCCAGACTGGTCTACAGAGCTCGTTCCAGGATAGCCAGGGCTGTTACACAGAGAAACCCTGCCTCGAAAAACTAAAAATAAATAAATAAATAAATAAATAAAAAATTTAAAACTTTAAAAAAAAAAGGAAAAGCCTGTGTAAGTAGAAGGTGCTCATTTGGTTTTCATATACTGCTTCCAGAACCCAACTCAATACCACATGAGAGGTGTTTAAAAAAAAAGACAACCAAAATACATACACCCAGCAAGGCAGGGAAAGGGAAGGACTCAGAAGAGCCTTAACCTTGAAATGCCAGAAAATCCGATGTGAAGGACCAGGCTGGTGCTTTCCCCAGGAGAGAGCTCCCAGGCTCACTAGGACAAGGCAAACTAAAAGGCTGCTGTGCCGAGGACCCGGAACAACTACTGTCGTGGGTGATCAAGTCAGCTCATGTTGTATCCTGTACAAAGAGCAAGTGGCCACAGAACATATACTCTTAAAGCAGCTTCAGGACAGGTGAGCATGGTCAAAGTTACTCTAAAGCTCTTCCAAAAGGTTGCTTAAAGTAGTCTTCTGGGCATTCTGCACATGAGGATGGCCTTGCCACAGTGGTTCCTACCTGGACAATCACCTGGTCTATGAGTGTGCAACTGGTCTACAAGTGTGCAACTGTTCTAAGTGTGCAGCTGTGTAAGGCTAAGTTCTAAGACTTTCCCCAACCTAAACACGTTCCCCACTCCTTTGCTTCATCTTCCTGGTTTCTCTCCTCCTCTATTCCCCCACTTACTCTAATGCTGGTCTTTCCCTTCTCTATAATAATTAAGTAGATAATAATGGCCCCTCCCTCCTTAGGCCTTCTTTCCACAGGCAAAACCAGTTCCAATTTTAAGGAAAAGTACTTCCTTGCTACCATTCAGTTACAACTAAGTGCCTTAGACTAGAGAGTACCAGGGACGGCTGCCATAAGGAAGCAGAAAGCTACCTTGGTGAACCACCAGCCTGTCTCCACTTATCCTAATGCCAACAATGGTTTTACAAAGACCTAGAAAGATTTAGTGTTTGCGGTGCTGAGAAATAAAACAAGGGCTCTGTCCATGCTAGACAAGTTCTCTATTTCTGAGCTACTTTTCCAGTGTTTTATAATTTTTGTTGTGAGACCTTTTGTTTTGTATCTCAAGTCACTTTGAACTCACTGTGTAGCTCAGACAGACCTCAGAATTGTGATCCTTCTGCCTCAGTCTCCCGAGCCGCTGGGATTCTAAGTGTGCACCACTACATCCAGCTAAGGACTTTGATTTGCGTTCACTCCTGTAGGATGTTCGAACTTCTGGCGGCAGCTTTCCATGGCTATGTGGGCAAAGACAAGGCTTACCTCTCTTGGAGAGTCTTTTTCTTTCAGGATCTTTATTTCCTGGTCAATGCTTTCAATTTCTTCTAAGCTGATACCAATCCACCTCCGAAGGTGAAGGAGGTGATATTCACGAACACGCTCATCATCTGCTTGACCACTTTCCACAGCAGATTTCAGTGCAGACAACCTATGCTCCACCTCCTTCTTCTGCTTGTATCTGTTCCACAGAAAAGCATTACCCATGAACTTAAACATACACATTTCCTCAAAAGAAGGCTACAGTAAGGTCTGCTTTTGCAGATGTCCAGGCAGTATGTGTGCCAATTCCTACTTTGGAAATAGTCTACGATCTAGGAATAGATTCTATAATCCAGAGCCAATCCCCAGATTACAAAGCAAGAGCGAGCCTAGGCACATCTTGATTTCAGTAAGCCCTATCATTATCTTTCAGAATGAGATGCTCTAGTCATCCGGCCATATCAGTCCTCACTCTGCTGGATGCTCAGCGCCAGAGTACTCCCTGTAAGTCCTCCACTTTGAAGATGAACCTTCAAGGAAAGCCAACACCTTAGAGGTCACTGCTTACCTGCCACTGATGTAGGCCTTCTTATGAAACTGTGGAAAAGCTGGTCAGTCATCTTTTGTCTTTCATGCAAAACATTCCTGAGGTAGATCTTCTGACTCGTCTCTACCTAATTTTAAGAATCAATGATCTTGACCGCCATTTTCCAGGATGCATTCTAGTCCCTCATCTAGCATTCATCTGTCAATCATCTCCAAAGTGTGGCGAGCACTTCTAGTACTGGAAACAGTTTGTAATAGAAGGCCCCTGCTTTCAAGCAGCTTTCATTCTAGCGGAGGAAGGCAGATCCAAGGGAACAGATGCCAAGCTAGACGACGATACACGCTATGGAGCAGTAAGAAGCAAGGGGAATGGAGAGGAAGACGGTATGGAAGCAGGCATGCTAGTATACCCAAAGTGAGCAGAAGCGACCCTTCCAAAGAGAAGGCCTGAGCAAAGCCATCAAGAAAAGAAGGCAGCTTCGAAGTGATCCTGATACCTAGAAGAGTAAGGGAAAAGCAACTGTGCATGGAGGAGAGTCTAGAATAGACAGAAAGCAAGGAAAGGAAGTAAGGTACCAGCACAACTTTAGGGAGACAGCAGCACAGGTAGCAAGAGATGGATGCATTAAAATAAGAAACAGGCAACAGTTTCTGATGTGAAGGCTTGCAACAAACAAGAACCAAGTAAAAATGCCATGGTTTTCAGAAGTCTATCAAAATCTCTCTGCCTGGAACCCCCACTCCTCACTTCCAGAAAAGGAAGCTCTTCTTTGGGGGTACCTAGATAAGGTCTTAGCTTCAAGTCGACGGAGAGTTTAAGGTGAGGGGGGTGGTCCTTGAACTCCTCAAAGTTTATACAAACTCTATTTGGATGCATTCTCTTCTTTCTTTCCTCTGCATACATGTCTTCCTCTTCTCTCATCTCCTCACCCCTTTGCTCTCCTTTTCCATCTTATTTTGTCAAGAGGAGGTTTGATCCCAAAGCCAAGGACCACTGCACTGTAGACACTGTTATAAAAATTTTTAGGCTCTTCTTTAACCCAACAAGAAAGCATCTTGTATACTACAGTATCACCATATGTAGCCATCTGGGTAAAACAATACAAAGGCCAAGCTCAGGAATGCTACTACTAAAATGACTTGAGATTGTTTACTTGGCTCCACACACAGCTACTCATTCTCTTTCATGGAGGTGCCTATGTCATAGAAAAACAACATATAAGGGTCCGAGGAGGTCTACACTCCAGGGTGAATTCTGGGTGAGTCTAGTGGTCCTTTAAATAAAGTTGTTTGGCTGTTCTCCTTCTCCATGATCATTCAACACACGCACTCTGGTCCGTTCCTTGCTTCTGTGACTTAGCTCTTTCCCATCCTTTAGACTCCTGGCTCTTCAGCACCTGTTCTTTTAGGCTAGTGGCTTAAAAACAACAAACAAACAAACACACAATAACACACAAAAACTCTTCTCTAAGGAACTTTCTTCAAATGAAAATTTGAATAGGAGCCTAGTAAGTAATATACAAATAAAACTGTCTTGAAAAAAATTAGAGAAAGCCTCCCAACATAACTCACTGGTGGAACTCTAAGGCTCTGAAGGACAGACTGAAAACCACTGTCCTAGACTACATCAGTGTTCTAGGCTCCCCAGGGTAGACCAACTATTATCTTAGAATCCCTTAGCCCTATAACCACCCTGACTTGGGCGATTCCTTGCGCTGTTTCCAAGCAGTTACAGTGCTAAGGAATTACAAATCTGTGGCAAATGGGGTACCACAAACATCTGCTATCAGACATGATTACCTTCTGCACTTTCCATACCAGCATCACGCTTTCCTGGTGGTCAGGCAGTTATAACACCCATTCCCCTCTATCTTCAAATTTCTGCTTCACCCTTCCTCCAGCCCTCAGCTTTTGTTTCCTATCTACCTCGTCCTGATCCACTTCTTTCAGGACTCGCTGTCAGTTACTCACCTTCCTTATTCATGGCTATGCGTTTTCATGGTTTTCTTCCCATCTTAGAATCGCCTTTCTGCAACCTCCTTTCTTCCTTCCCTTTCCAGTGACTACTCTTTTATGCTTGAGAAGGAACAGCACTAGAACTGGAAATTTGAAAACCCGAGTTTCACTTCTAGCCTGACCACTTACTAGTTACATAATTTTGGTCAAGGCAATTTGAAAAGCACATCCCCATATCTGTATAATGTGGATCTACTTCATGGGGTTGTGAGAGGAGCAAATGGAAAAATGTTCAAGAAAATTCTTTGTAAATAGCAATATAAACATTACTAGTAGATAAGAAAACAGCCTGGGGAGGGAATGGGAGCAGATAGTGCCCCATCTCTTAAGCAGTAGAATTTAGTTACACCAAGATGGTCTGATTCCAAAGAATCAGTTTTCGCAATGCTATATTGCTTCCATCTTTTGGAATACTACTTTATCTCTCCAGGTACCCCAAGCTTTAACTATGACCAAATTACTGGGCTGGGCATCGTGAGATACAATACAGTTGGAATACTAATACACTTCTAGTCAAGGCCTCTGACCTTAAGAAGTTCCAAGTCTAGAGACTGAAATAATTATACTATGCTAAACAGCATGACTAGGAATTAAAGCATCTGTTAAGGTAGGTAGGGGTGTGTGTGGTAGGGTATGTAGGGAGAGGTCTTAGAGTTGTTGCAACATTTTGTCTCTGTAAATTCTTCTATTGGTACTTTGTTGCATCTCTTCTGATAGTTATTTCCTTCTTTTCCTTCCCTAGCTTGCCCCCAACACTTTATTCTTAGCTTTCTTTCCCTACATGTCTTTCATTGGAAAACACATCTATACTCACCAAAGTAGAGAGCGCCTAAATTTTTTTGGCATCAGTCACAACACAGACCCAAGTTTTGGTCGCATATTTCCATTTGTCTAGAGAAGAGGCCACCTAGTTGTCACTTACAAACCTAAATCCACTAAATCTTATAGTCTGATTACTTACCCAGCTTCTTTCATTTCTGTTAAAAGAAGGGGGGTGCTGTTACTCAACCACACTCATACTTAGTCCTGCAAGAAGATTGAGAGAATGTGCACAGGGAAGCAGATATGAGAGAAGACATGCCATTTAGGTGTTTTATTTAGGACAGTCTCAGCATCTAGTCATGGGCAGAAGGAGTTACAGAAAGGAAGAGTCTGAATAATTTGGGGTTTGTTTGTTTGCCATATGGGAGATTGAGCCCAGGCCCTCGAGTATTCAAGGAAAGCACTCTATCATTTAGCTACCAAAAATTTGCCCTGGGGAAGTTTTCTAGTCATATAAATGCTTCTTACAAAAGCAGTGTCTGTGATAGCTCTAAGTTCCCTTTTATCGCTTCATTCCAGCCGCCCTACTGGTGACGTGTGGCCCAACTGTTTCCTTTCAGTATTCAATACACAGTCCTTCATGCAGACCTGCTCACGCTAGCCTTCAGCCCAAACCAGAGCGCTAGCTAGTTCCTGTGCACCCTGCAGTCTACTTCTGTTTGGGGCAGGCTCATGTCTTTTCTCCTATTGGTCAACAGGAAACATTGGTGGAGAACTTGGTACATGCCAGGCCCTGCGCTAGGCATGCCACAGTGAACAAGAGAGAAATGGCTCCTACCCCGAGGGAGCACACATTCTAGTAGGGGAGAGACAAACCTGAGAAGATGGACACATGACATGACTGCACGTGAGCTACATGCCACGAAGCACACAAATGTGGAGGGAAGAGAAAATGATAGATGCTAACTACTTAAAGAGACTGGTATGGAAAGGGACCGCTAAAGAACAACATTCAAGCTGAGACCTAAACAACAAAGAATTGGCCATATGAAGAATAGTTAATATAAAAAGAACAGCATGCACAAAGACGGAAGGAGCTGGTCTGTTCAAAGACCAGGATGGTAGTCAATGTAGCTAGGGTCCTGTGAACAAGTGAAGAATCACATGTGATGAGACTGGAGAAACAGATACCAGATTACACAGGGCCTTGGCTATCTAAGCTTGGGAGGTACTGGGGGCTTAGACCAAAGTGTGCTAGCGGAGATGGAAGACAACAGGAAAAGACACCTTCCGTTGCTAGAACTGACAGGCCTTACTAATGGACTACATGAATTCAGAAAAAGGTAGGTCTTGAAGCTACCTTCTAGGTTTCCTGCTTACACATCCAGGTGAATAGCAGAGTACTTACTGAAACAGTGACGACCGGGTATGTGGGCACACTTGGAGTGAAAAGCCAGGCTTCGAGCTGGAGATGTAGAGTGCTTCCCTAGTATGCATGAGGCCCTGGAATCAACCCCTAGCACCACAGCAGAAAAGGAGAAGAAAGAAATCGGAAAAGCCAGCACGTGAAATTACCCATAAATGGTGTTAGAACCAGGGTCAGAAGAGATAGAGGATAGTTACATGAGTCCAGGAGCATTAGTATAAATGCAGCGTTGACAACTCACCTCTCATACAGTTTTTTTTTTTAAAAAAAGTTCAAAGATCAAGATTACAGGCCAAAGAAATGTAAATCAAAATTGGATACCTTTTTCTATTTAACTAATTGAACTTTCTAGTGTTAACATCCAGGACTTGTGAAATGGGAACTACTTTAAGACTTTGTTCTTGTGGAGGGCAATATTGTTGCCACACATCAAGAGTCTTAAAATATTCAAAGAGGAATCTATTCCAAGGAAACAGTAACCAAAGGGGTACAAATGTTTGTTCATAGCATTACTTAGAATCACACACACACACACACATCAGAAACAAAACAAACAACAAACAAAACCATACCCCAAAATGCAAGCTAACGAAACAAAACAGGATCTAAATACTTGACAATAATAGTTTAAGTGGTTATGGTACAACTATAGAATAGAATATTACAAAACCATCAAATATGGTTTCAAATGACAGGGGCTCACAATATTAGTGTTTTAAAACCAGGATAAAAAGCTGCATTTACAGTATTGTTCATAATTTATTAACTAAAATAACTATATATCTGAACGAAAATACAGCAGAAAGTTAACAATGACGTCTACGAATGCTAAGATTAAGGCTTATTTTTGATTTAAAAATGTTTTGCAAATTTTTCAACAATGAGTAGTATTGCTTTCACATTCAGGAAGTCTACAGTTTCTATTTTTAGAGATCTTTCATCTCCCAGGCCATTGTGTTCTGAACGTTTGCCTCAGTCCTCCAGCCAGTTCTTGTCACTCCCTTACCTCTCTCGGTCTCTTCTGTTTTTTGTTTTTTTTCTGGGGGTAATTATCGGGACACACTGCCTTAGCTTCTGATCTATGCCTATGGGCGGCCAGTCCACAGTGTCAGAGAGAGGGTTCTGGAATCCATTTTGTCTCAGTCTAGCCCACGGTTTTGAAAAATCATTCACTGTGACTTAACTGTTCCCTACCTACATTTTATTACTCTTCATACCCTTAGCACCCGAACTTGAGAAATTCCAATTTTCCTCTTCTCTGTTTTATGCGTGTTTCCGTGTGCACATGTGCCATGAATCAACACTGGTGCCTTTTGGGTGCTAGGCTGAGTGTCTTTACCAGCTCACTGTCTGTGTCTACCACAATCAAAGCTTCGTGACTGTGCTGACTTTGGCTGGTTTTCTAACATCTAGAACAGTTCCCAGCATTCATGAAGGGCTTCATAACTATTTGTCAAATAACCTAATTCTCAACCTTCTAAAGTTCAAGTCTGACCTCTCTGAGCTTCATTCTGTTGGACATCTCTACAGAGATGTCTTATAGGTACCTCAAACTCAATATGCCACAGTACTGATTTTACACTCTCCCCATCCTGATTTACTTTATAACTTAAATATATTTTTATGAAATATTTCAGAATTTCATACACACATACTGTGTGTTTTGAACATATTCACCCCCAACCCCTCTCAGATTCACTCTTAACTCCCCCTGCAACTCCTTGTCCTTTTATTTTTTATTTATAACCCAACTTTGCTGTCTGTTTATTCATGGGTGCTGGGCCAATTTCTGCTTCTTCCCCATATTAAATTGGGACCATTGCTATTTAATTTCACATAGGACTGAACCTGAGGCTTAGATAGGCTAAACAACTTACCCCAAAGTCCAATGACCTGTAAGGAAAGCTGAAACTCAGACCCAGAGCTCTGATTCTGTGATCTTACTTTCAACCACAAAAATATAACTACATCTGACCTTGAATGCCTACTGTGCCAGCTACTGAGCTGCACTAGGAGCTTTATATGTATGTCTGTTTGTCCTCCATAAAATAGTCTGTGAAAAGGTACTTATTATCTCAATTTTAGACCTGGGGAAATGAAGTGATTTGCCCCAAATCCTGGAGTAACTACTGATGGAGCCGGGACCCAAACGCCCTCTCAAGCTTGCTCCTTCCCCATCGCATCCCAAGCTCTCTCTGATGTGAGCCCTACAACACTCTGCATCATTAGTTCTGCCCGCTCTCCACCACCATTTTGCTGCTTGGGAGGGGATACTTTTTCTCTTCTCACACAGCCCCACTCCAGTACTGTTTATTTAATGCCTTTGTGGCTTTACTGATGCCATTACTTCGTTGGGCTAACCCCTCCTCTCTCCTTCCTGAGGCTAACATTTCCATCTTAGAATAGATATCCCCTTTCCTGGGAGCCTGCTCTTCTCCCTTGTTCCCTGGGCTGTTTTCTTCAGGGTGCCCATGCATCTCTCCTCGTACCATCTTATACTTGCATTCTGTTTCTATGCCACCCGCCCACACCAGAGCACAATGATCACCCACATTCATACAAACACCCAAACAGGTTGCATCCCCAGTGCTTAACTTTGTTCTTAGACACTGAGCATTCATTGATTTTTTTAAACTAAAAATAAACAATATCAAGGTTACATGATGCTGTACCAGGGCTATAATTAATTAAGGACATTACACATCTCAGCTTGTACTCCCGAAGAGAATTGCTCAATAAATAGAACAGAATACTTTCTACATCAGTGATATTTACCCCATACAGACAGCATTATGTACTGACATGGAAAAAGTCAGGATATACTTTGCTAATCCTGAAGGTCAGGATAGTAAACATCGCTACTATCGGCAACCATAAGGTGTGTGTTGGGGGGTGTGGAAATCCTGTAGTTTTGGTACAATCCCCTCAATAATGGCAAAGGCTTCTCAAGACTCTGGAAAGTTTGCTTTTACCATGGCCTATGTTCAATAAAGAACCACGAGAATGGCATACACTATTCTGTAGTCCACACGCACACACACACAAACACATGCACCCCCAACAGCACTGCAGCCCTCAAATTACAGCCATTGTTGACCCACCTCTCTATTTTAGCCTGTCTTTGAGATGCCATAGCAACGAGATTTGGATAGGCCATGGAGGTGCTAGCAGTGTTATTTTCAGCTGAGTTATTCTTGGTTTGGGGTAGTTGAAACTCTGCCACATGATAGCAATGACACTGAGTTAAGAAATTTATGAAGTGTTCTCGAGCCTGCTGCAAATGATCTAGACGCTTGCTGGGGTTGACTTGTTTCATGGTGAGAGCTCCTTGCAACGCTGGCACCATCAGGTACTTCAGGTCGGTGGAAGCAATCTCTTCCAAATCTTCATTTCGGCTGGAAAGAGCAAAGAGGAGGCCGTGAAGCCTGGCTAAGCATTAAACTGTGGCTCTTGCTTCTAGGGAAGAACAGAGTTTGCAGAGAGTGTTGCGAAGACAGCACTGGCCAGATAAAAAGAAAGTGGCTGAGTTTGCATACCCAAGGCCGAGGCAGTCAGCCGTACAATAGCAAGCATCGTCCTGGGATATTAACCATCTCAGAAGAGATGTGGACAATGAAAAGAATGCACACTGAGTGAGCAAGCAAGAACCACGCGAGTTTAGCCTTAAAGGTCCTTTCCACCCAGGCGCAATGGCTCCACCCTTGCTAACCAATCATGCTCTGCGGTTACTACCCTCTCCCCCATACCTGAACAAATCAAGTTCTGATAACATTCCAGAAGCCTTCGCAAGGAGATCCAGTCCTTTGGACACCTTATCCTGGATTGTCCGGGAGCCGGAGGGTTCGGTCGCTACTTCCACTTCCTCCAGAAGTTTCTTGCTGGTTTCGAAGAGCTCCGGAAGCCGCGGCAGCAGTAACTCGTCTTCAGACGCTGCCATCTTGTGGGAGAAAGAAACCCGGAACAATTCGGACAGAAGTCAAAGGTAAACTCAGTAACGAGCCCAAAAGGTCTCACGACACAGGAAACAGTACATCATTGGCCAATTGCTTGTTAGCAAAGTGTCCCAAATGACTTCTGGGAGTAGTAGTTTACGGGCCCTGGCAACCGTTTCCATGGACTCATTTTCAGCAGGCAGCCTGTTTTAAAGTTGTAGGTGCTGTTTTACTGAAGATGGGCTCGAGGAGGCCAGAAGTGGACTAGCAAGTTCCCAGGACTCTGAGACCCGGGGAGTGGCGGGGCTGAATTCCGAGCGCTAGCCAGCGTGAGAGGGCGACCGTGGGTGTGGTGCGGGTTGGGTCAGCCGCCGGCCTTCCCTCGCAAGTCAAGTCGGTCCCCAAGTAGAGTCCTGGCACCCAGGGGCCACTCTCTCTTGGTTCGCGGGTTTGCTTGCCCTAGCCGGCGCCGGCTCCCGTCAGTCTTCCGTCCCCACCACTCTTGCTTGCTCCCAACCAATCCTCACCCGTCCGTTCCCCTTCCCGCCTCTGTCCGGCACACTCGGCTGCTCTTTGGGGGCGGAACCCTATGAAGTCTCTCTCTTTGATCCCGAACATTCAGAAACTTGCAACTCTCATCTGCCATCAGCCGGCTACCTTTCTTTCTCGTCACTTTCTTCTGAAGTCACACTTTACTTCTGGCAATCGTTGACTCTCGTTCGCCGTGTTCCGCGCCTTTCAGCCAGCCGACAGGTTTTCTTCTGTGCATGCATGCAGCACCGATCATCTGCATTAGTAGTTAGTGAATTACAAATCTGCCTTACCAGAATGAATCTGATACATTCTAGTTGGCTTGAGTACTTATTAAGTTACCCAGAGTCATCATGATACGAATAGAAAATAAAGTGATCTCTTTGCAAAGCAGTATTGCAGAATGGCGCTGTTTATTAGGTGGCCACCTAGTGCTTAGATGTGGCTATTTTAAATTGAGATGTGTTGTAAAAAGTAAACTATACCTCGATGTCACACCTCGATGACATAATCAAAACATAAAATAGCTTAACATTTTGGCTACATGTTGAATGACAATATTTTTTGAGACAGGGTCTCATGTAATCCAGGCTGGCCTCGAAGGAGGATGACCTTTAACCTCTGATCCCATGTGCTGAGGTTATAAGAGTGTGCCACCATATTCCGTTTGTGTGGTGCTGGGGGTCAAACCTACACAACCTGCACCTGCATCCTTACTAAGCATTTTACCAACTGAGTTGCATTCCCAGCGCGCCAACCCAATAATATATATTCGTATATTCAGTTATGCATTCTTAAAAATAAATTTTGTTTCTTTATTTTTCAAAATGTGTGCCAACTAGTTTCTTCCTTCCTTCTTTCTTTCCTTCCTTTCTTTTGAAACATGTTCTCAAACTTGCTATATAGACAAGGATGATATGGAACTTCTGATCTTCGGTTTCCACCTCTTGAGTGATGCTTATACCTTCCTAGTGGTGCAGAGTACAGTCCTACCTGGTTTATTTGGCTGGGGATTGAACATAGAACCTTGTGTCTACTACATGAGCGCGCTACCAACATTCCTGGTCCAATCTACATAAAAATTTAAAGTAAATATATTATACATCTATTATTATGAATTACTGAATGTGTGCCTGTAATGTGCATGTGTTTGGGCACACACGCCATGCCACATGTGCTGAGGTCAGAGGGAAGCTTTGGTGAGTTCGTTCTCTCTCTTCACCTTCAGGCAGGTTCCAGGAATCAAACTCAGGTTGCCAGGTTTGTGCAGCAAGGGCCATTATCTGCCATCTGGCTGGCTAGAAGTTTAAAGTTACGTTTGTGGCTCTCGTGTTCCTGTCACACCGCATCAATGTAAAATAGAGCTCCAGAGCTTTGAAGGAAATCATGTCTTTGCTTTGAGCAAATAGTCTAAGTACATATTGATTAAGTTCAGGCACTCTCTGAGTTGTCCTAGGAGATTTAAGTTAAATAGAAGACACACTGTCTGCCCCCGAAAATAAGCCTTTTAAACTAAATATGGATGAGAAGGGATTTTTTTTCATATAAAAATAACTAGAGGAGAATGTAGGGCAGCGTTGTACTGCAACCAAGACATGACAAATCACTCCACGCTTAGAGATAGTTCATTCAGAAGGCTTCTTTTAATTTTTTTCAACTTTATTTATTTTGGGGGGCACATATGCCATGCTGCCAGCGTGCGTGCATGCATGCGTGTGTGTGTGTGTGTGTGTGTGTGTGTGTGTAGGTCAGGACAATATGGGGGAGTTATTTCTTTTCACCCTGTGGGTCTTGGGGATTAAACTCAGGTCAGCAGACTTGAGAGCAAACACCTTTACCCATTGAGCCATCTCATTGGCCCTTCAGATGGCTTCTTAGATAAGACTTACAGTCAGGATTTGGAAGCTAGAAGGGAGCCTCAAAAATCAGGAAAAAATTATACATAGAAAATAGGTGACTCAACCAACCCATTTGTGACAAAGCTAATGTCTTCTGAGTTGAAATGTTTCTACTCGTCAGCCTTCAGTTGGGTGCAATTTAGAAGGATGGAGAAAGATGGAGAGATGACTCGGCAGTTAAGAACAATTCCTGCTCTTCTGGAAGACTTGAACTCAGCTCCTAGTACCCATGTCAGGTGGCTCACAACTTCCTGTAACTCCAGCTCCAGATTACCAAATGCTCTCTCTTCCCGATTTCACATCTACTACACACACACACACACACACACACACACACACACACACACACACCTGGCACACACATAAATAAAAGAATAAAGATAGAGAAAGCTTTTCACGTGAGATGAATGAATTGACAACAGTGCTTTGCGAGAGTGAGAGGGAACCAGGGCCTAAGTAGAGGCTGAATAGGTTGCCCAGTCCAATGAGACTAACAACCCCCCTCTTGCCAAGGCAGAGGGAAACACTTGTGAATTCCCCAGGTGATTTCCTGATACTTTGTGTCACCTTAGTAAACTGATGCTTCAGGGGTAACCTTTGCCAGAAATACAGAAACAGTAGATAATATTTGTAGAGGAGCCTTGGAAACTTAGCAAATGTGACACTGGAGATAAACTGTTTCTCTGCATTTGTTTGGATTAAGACACCCCTTTGTTGTTTCCTAAGAGGGAAAAAATACACTGAATTGTAATTTGGTTCTGACCTTTGTGAGCCACTTCCTTTGCAGCATTGCTAACTGCTTTCTGAGTGCCTATTATATATGGGTCCTGTCATTTTAAGCATTGTATTTCATGATGATATCAACGTTTTAAGAGTCAGGAAAAAAGTAATAAAAATGAGTTGTTTGTTGTGTTTCTCTGCATAAAACACTTTATCATATTAAGTTCCCGTTGAGATGAGGGATTTACTACACCGTGTTCGTTTGGGGAAATACAAAGGCCCTTAAAATTAAAAAAAAAATAACTGGTATTTAAACACTGTGGTAGAATGAATCCTTTCCAAGTCAAGTGTTAGAGTGGTCTACAGGCAGCTTTGAAGAGAGCAGGCAGATGCTTGCAAACTCAGAACCTCTTCCCAACCTGCACAGCGGTGCTCCGAGCACCTCTGAAGGCTGTACAGCTAACCTTACACAGCCCTATTGCTTTGCATAGCCGGGAAATGGAAGCTGGAAAGGGTTGGACTACTTGCTCAAGGTCACACAGCTAAGATTAACTGAGTTGTAATGAAGAAAACTGGAGTCTGTGAGACTAGGAAGACAAGTAGAACATATTTGAAGCAATCTGCGAATGTCTGTGGAAATGAAATTATCTTCCAAAGACTTTCCCATGTGACTCCATGATAGAGATGATGGATGGTCATTTATCATGTTGAATCTTACCACAGACAGACTTAAAAAAACCTGGATAACAGCTTGTGTGATTCATGAGAGGAGTGTTATAAAGCAGCTCCTCCCTTGCCTGTGTGAAGTCATGCATCTGGCCATCGGGAACTTCTTGGACTTTCGAGAGGTCTACGGCTGTTTTGTCCTAAGCGGGTGGTAATCAAAACTGCAGTGTAGTTCTCTAAAAAACCCACATCTGTGCTGAAAATTCCAGCCAGTCCTGCCTGATCTGGGGTAGAGGAAATATTGTAGACCACGGGCCAAATGATTCAGGGTGATTGTTAGCCCTCTCAACCTCTGTATTCGAGCCAATACCTTTGTGACTATTAGGGAAAATTGTGGGATGCACTGTTCAACTTAGCTGAGCAGTAGCTACTACTAACGTTGAAGCTATGGGTATAAAGGACCATCTCGGAGACATACAGACTGTACTTCCCCGCTCAGTTGTGGGGAGCTCGCCTACCTGATATCCTTGCCAATGTAGTTGACAAATGGATTTATTTGTGACTTTCTTTTGTTCTTTGACAGTTACCATTCATGCAACCTCTTCCACACTGGACCATTTTATTAAGGGGAACCTGGATTTGCTTTCCTGTGTTGTAGCCACTCACGTGCAGTTCAGAATAAACTATCCCTTACTTCCTTTGGTGCGAGAACTATGCTTTGCCTCAGCACCACTGATGTTTATGTCTTTAATGGCAGCAGTAGCACCAAATGACATCGAATTGTGTGCAGTGTAACGACAAGACCCCAAACCAGGCTGTAACTTTCTCAAAACAACTCTCCTTGCTTACCGAGGAAAGTCTCTTCACAAAGTGTTTTTGGAGACTTGAATCTCCCTGCCTAGTTCAAAGAATTTCATGAAAGGAAAAAAAAATTCCCAATTCAGTGGCAACTACATTAAATGCCATTTACAAATTCTGTTTCTATATGTAACTCTGAGAAGCGTGATGCATTGCACAAACAACCCGCGTGACCTGGTTTAGGGACCCACATCTACTGCTGAAGAGCTGTGTTATCTCAGAAACGTCTCTTTCATTTTTCTAGACGTATGTGCTACTTGAATGTCAGGCACTGTGAATTTGAAGAGCCTCACTCAAAGTGTGAGACTTCAAAGGGTCTATACTTCAATGGAAGAGTTAAAAGTAATTTGCTAAGTATCTGAACGAAGATATGTTAGAAGAATGAGGAGAAGAGGTTTGGCTG